ACCATCCAGATTACAACTCCTCAGATCCATAAGGGACACACTCAGGGAGCAGACTCAGTGAGCACCAAATCCCCACTGAAGCAAGTCTTGCCCCAGAAGGGTGTCTCCAGCACAGAAGTTCTCCCACTGTAGACACAGCTGATTCTCACAGCTAATTGGCCTGGAGGTCAATTCCTCCCAGTGATACCTACAACAATCAAGGCTTAACTACAACAAGACTGTGCACAAAGCCCACAAAGGGGTGCACCAAGAGTGTCCACCTCAGGTCTTGGGGAGGTTGAGTCACTAAGCCCTATAGGACACCTAGCACAGAAAGCCACTCTATCAACACAGGAAGCATAAAGAATGCGGAAACAAAGAAATGGGTCACAAATGACAGAAACTGAGGAAAGCAAACTACTGGATATAGAGTTCAAAACCACACTTCTAAGGTTTTTCAAGAATTTTCTAGAAACCGCTGATAAATTTAGTGAGACCCTCAAGAAATCTAGTGAGACCCTCGAGGATATGAAAAAGGACCAACTAGAAATTAAGCATACACTGACTGAAATAAAGAATATCATACAGAGTTCCAACAGCAGACTAGAGGATCCCAAGAATCAAGTCAAAGATTTGAAATATGAAGAAGCAAAAAACACCCAACCAGAAAAACAAAAATAAAAAAGAATCCAAAAATATGAAGATAGTGTAAGGAGCCTCTGGGACAACTTCAAGCGTACCAACATCCGAATTATGGGGGTGCCAGAAGAAGGAGAGAGCAAGATATTGAAAACCTATTTGAAGAAATAATGACAGAAAACTTCCCCTTCCTGGTGAAAGAAATAGACTTACAAGTCCAGGAAGCGCATAGAACCCCAAACAAAAGGAATCCAAAGAGGACCACACCAAGACACATCATAATTAAAATGCCAAGAGCAAAAGACAACGAGAGAATCTTAAAAGCAGCAAGGGAAAAAAAGTCAGCTGATTTCTCAACAGAAACTATGCAGGCCAGAAGGGAGTGGCAAGAAATATTCAAAGTGATGAATACCAAGAACCTACAACCAAGATTACTTTATCCAGCAAAGCTATCATTCAGAATTGAAGGTCAGATAAAGAGCTTCAAAGATAAGAAAAAGCTAAAGGAGTTCATCACCACCAAACCAGTATTATATGAAATGCTGAAAGGTATCCTTTAAGAAGAGGAAGAAGAAGAAAAAGGTAAAGATACAAATTATGAACAACAAATACACATCTATCAACAAGTAAATCTAAAAATCAAGTAAATAGATAATCTGATGAACCGAATAAACTGGTGAATATAATAGAATCAGGGGCATAAAAAGGGAATGGACTGACTATTCTCGGGGCCGGGGTGAGGAAAGGGGTGTGGGGGGTGTGGGAAGAGACTGGACAAAAATCGTACACTTATGGATGAGAACAGTGGGGGGGGGCGGTAAGGGCAGAGGGTGGGGTGGGAACCCGGTGGAGGGGAGCTATGGGGGAAAGAAAGAGGAACAACTGTAATAATCTGAACAATAAAGATTTAATTTAAATTTTAAAAAAATTAATATCTCCACACACACACACACACACACACACACACACACAAAAGTTTGCTCCAAAGTGGGCAGATGCCAAAAGCCAGTGCTTGGGGGCTGGGAAACACTGAGCTGTCATGGAGGGTTAGCGGGTGCGGAGAGGAGACGTGTGAAGGGTGAGAGAGGGAAAGAGCGCCACCCTCATCCAGGGGGGAGTAGGGAGTTGAAAAGCAGACATGGCCTGACATGAGGTGTGGACAGCCTGGAGGGTGTATGGGGTGGGATGCAGGCCCTGCTCCCACTTCCAGGTGCCTTTGCTCCGCCTCTCGGAGCCCTCGGGTATGGGAGGCTTGACTGTGTGTTTGGTAAAACACACACAACATACAATTTACCATTTCACCTTATTTGCGTGTAAAATTCATGGTATTGCTGCATGCACCGTCTTTATGTCACCACTGTCCAGTCCAGGTTCACCCCTAACAGGAGCTCCCCCATTAAACAGTCACCTCTCCTCCCCCAGCCCCACCAGTACAGCCTGTGGCCCCCTCCCCCTCGGTCAGCAGCTCAGAGGGCAAGGCCTGTGCAGACCTGGGTCTCAGTGGCAGAGCCTGGGAGTGAGGACGGGCCTGCAGCTGCTGGGCTGGCAGAGCCTGAGCACAGGGCTGGGGGTGCCAAGGGCAGGGCTGGGGGAGCTGAGAGCAGAGCTAGGGGGCCCGAGGGCAGGGTGCCCGGGCTTCTGCTGTGCTGGAAGCTGCTCACCCTCAGGCACAGCCTTGCTGTCCGCCCCGGTCTATGGTCCCCACCTTCCAGACACTGGGGGCCCCCCTTCAAGCGGGAGCTGAGGCCTGGGGACCACCTGGGCTCTCCTCACATTGATCCCACACCTTGGTCCTAGGCGGGGTGGGGGCATCCCTGCTTCTGAGTCTTCCTGGAGGGTTCTGAGAGGACCTGAGCCAGGCTGCAGGGGCTGTGGGAGCACATGCTTCGTCCCCATGTCCGGTGGCGGTGACGACCCTCACCTTCCTGGAGACCAGTCACCGGGAAATGGCAGGCAGGACTGTGACCTTCCCGGACCCCGTCCGCCCAGGGGCTGCTGGCTGCTGGCAAACTCTGAGGCAGTTTACAACTCACAGCAATGGGTGAGACCATTTGTCCTTACTATGGATGTATTCACTGTGTTCTCACAACCACGCTGTGATGCGACTAGTACATCACAGAAAGACACAGAGAGCACAGAGGCTCACTATGCCTGTGTGTGTGCATGTGTCCGCTGTGTGCATGTCTGTCTGTGTGCTTGTCTGTCTGTATGTATATGCCTAGCTATGTGCCTGTCTACCTGTGTGCATGTCTGTGTGTGTGCATGTCAATATGTGTTTTTGTGTGTGTATACACGCGAGTCTCATTATGCATGTCTCAGGGGGAGGTCTGTGTGTGTGTGTAAATATGTGTATCACTCTGAGTGTCGCTAAGTATAAATTATGTGTCTGTGCATAAAGGTTTATTTTAGGGGTGAGAGTGAGAGAGGGCCCCTGAGGGGAGACATGGAATGAACCACACAGAGGTGGTGGTCACCTGTTCTGTGCAGGGAGCAATGTGGAGGCAGAGGGACCCCAACATGCCCACGTGCGGGGGTGTGACCCAACGTACTGCCTGTGTGAGTGGCATAAAGACAAGGATGGCTGAGCACAGATCCGGGCCGAGCAGGGAGATGGTCAGAGGGTGCAGGGATGGGTCGTGCGAGGCCCTGTGAGCAGCGACAGCGGGGGCCTCGGCCCTGCCAGCGGGACCCCAGCCGGTGTCTCTCAGGCTGTGGCAAGAGCTCGAGAATCCTGCGTCCACGGAGCACAGGCTGTAGACTGAGCACATCATGTGCTTCAGAAAAGAGGCAACTGAGTGTGCGGGTTTCCCGATGAGACACACACACACTCACTGTGGCCGCGAGGGGCATCACTGATAACATGGGCCCCCATCGGCTATGCTCTCAGTCACGTGGGCATCATGTGCCCTTCATCATGGGAGACGCTGAGGACTAATGAGACGTCCTCTTCCTGGAAACATGGGGACCATGGCCTAGGCCCATGGTCGGCAAACTGCGGCTCGAGAGCCACATTCGGCTCTTTGGCCCCTTAAGTGTGGCTCTTCCTAAGCCTTAGAAGTACCCTAATTAAGTTAATAAAATGTACCTACCTATATAGTTTAAGTTTAAAAAATTTGGCTCTCAAAAGAAATTCCAATCGTCGTACTGTTGATATTTGGCTCTGTTGACTAATGAGTTTGCCGACCACTAGCCTAGGCTCTCAGGTGCAGAAGAAGGGCTGGTTCCCCTTCCTGTGGGAGGTCACTGCGGTGTGGATGCGCAGGCGCATGGCAGGGAGGGCAGCTCCACCCCCAGGGCCCGGGTAGGAGCCTTGGGCACAAGCCGAGAGGGATGAGGGCAGGACGATGACGATGGTTGTGCAGATGGAAAGGACAGGCTGTAGGAGGGAGGGGGCCGTGCAGAGAAACGGGGTGGCTCACAGGTGTCAGGAGTCAGATGAGCTGCAGTGGGGTCATAAGCCCCCAAACGTTCCATGCCCTAAGCCAGTGATGGCGAACCTTTTGAGCTCGGCATTTCAGCATTTTGAAAAACCCTAACTTAACTCTGGTGCCGTGTCACATATAGAAATTTTTTGATATTTGCAACCATAGTAAAACAAAGACTTATATTCTTGATATTTATTTTATATATTTAAATGCCATTTAACACAGAAAAATCAACCAAAAAAATGAGTTCGAGTGTCACCTCTGACACGCATGTCATAGGGTCGCCATAACTGTCCTAAGCCCTGGACTTCCCTCTCTTCTCTATGGGGACTTTGCAGCTGCGATAAAGGTACGGATTCTGAGTGGGGGCAACAACCCTGGATTTCCTGGGCCTGCTCTCTGCCATCCCACATGTGGGGGAGGAGGAGGCAGAGGTTTCACAGGAAGGAGGGGCAATGTCAGCTCCGTTGGGCCCTGGAGCCCATGCAGCCAGACAAGGACTGCATCCGCCTCCCAGCGGGAAGCCGCCAGGAAGAGCTTCCCCCTGGACTTGCACAGCCAGCAGGGCCTCCGCACCCTGGGGTCTGGGCAGAGAGTGACAGACCGCAGCCTCCTGTCCTGGCCCCTGGGACAGACCCCCCTGACCACAGTGCACAGCGGGCCTGGCAGCAGCCACTGGAAAGGAGTCTGAGCTCTCAGGTGTGCGGCTGGCTGAGGGGGCCCCTCGGGGATGGAGGTGCGGGAGCCTGCGTGGCTCATGCAGGGCCTGGGCCTGGGAGGCCTGTGCAGAGACACGGGCCGGGCCTTGAGCCAACGTTCCCTCTGTGATCCGTGCCCTCAGGCGCCAGGTCACTGCCCATCGGGTCAGCATGATGCTCTGTTGTCACCACCCAAGGCCCCCTCATGATGCCCCCCACCCACAGCCAGAGACTGGGATAAAACAAGACAGGCGGCACGTGCAGGGCAAGTGATTTATTGAAGTAAGACATTGAAACCTCTACATTTTCCAGGGAAGGTCAGGGCATCCTTGAAAGCAGGGGCCCTCGTAGGTGGGGTTTATGAATGCTGCTTGTTACACTCAAATTTTACTCTCTCCTGAAATAGATACAGAGAGAAAGGTCCATCAATCCCGCTGCCCCTGGAGATGCCTCGGGCCCTGCCCTCTGGCCTGATGGGTGAGGATGGAAAGGGGCTAGGCCACAGGGACTGGGCCTGGCTCTACAAAAGCAGCCAGATCCCCAGGAGCCTCCCTCCTCACGGGGTGGGGCCAACTCCCTCCCTTCCCTGCCTCCCCCTGTGCACCCCCACCCCATGGCATTCCCCAGGGACAGTGCTTCCTGCATCCAGCTGAGGGACCTCACCCTCCAGAACGGTCCCAGGCAGGGAGGCAGCAGTGTCTGGCCCTTCACCATCACCACCTGGGCCCTGGCTGTCCCCACTAAGGACACGTGGGGAACCTGAGCCCAGGGAGGGGCCTGCAGAGGCTGTGGAGCCTGAGGCTGGCTCAGTGGGTGTGTGGTTACCATCCACCCTTGGCCACAGGCCCCTCTCTCAAAGGTGAGCAAAGGGGCAGATGCCCCCCACCTGTGCCCCCCAGGGCAGCACGCTCCTCCCGCCTGGCCATGCAGCTGAGCAGCAGCCTCTATGCAGAAAGAATGAAGTTACCACAAAGTGGGCAACTGTTATTCGGTCCCACATGGAGAGGTTGTCTACGCATTTCTTCACTTGCAGCTTGGCCTGTTTAGCAGCTTGAGGGGCATCGAATTTTTGAATCTTGTCATTGAAGCGCGCTTTAGTATCCAATAGGAAGCTTATCACTTCTTTTCCAAGGGCTGGACACACTTCTGCATTTGCTGGAACAGAAGAAGAAGAAATACCATTGAGGTAGGAAAGTCACTTTTCCCCATGGCACTGTGACCCCAAAGGAGACAAGAACCCAGGACGAGATGGGCGCCTCCCTTGACAAAGCAAACTCCCCCAAGTCACAGAGCACGCAGCAGAGCCCAGATGGAGCACAGGTGACCACCCCTGGTCAGTCTTCCCTTTACCAAGTACACCCAGGCCTTCCCAAGAGTCCCCTGCTTTGCCCCAGTCACTGTCCCTGGATTTCAAGGACTCAGCTTTGCCCCTCAACAGAGCCACACCTGCCTTTGTCTGGTACTGGGGGAGGGAGCTTCTAGCCCTCAGTCTTTCCAGGGAAGGGTAGGGTCAGGTCCTGGCAGAGGGCCGAGGGGGAGACAGTAAATGCGGAGAGGAGGGAGGAACGCTACTAAGGGATGGAGGATGCCCTTGGAGGCTCAGTCTAACACTGGGATCATGTCATGGGACAGAGAGGGCTCAGGCTTAACCAAGGAAGTCTGTGAGTGTCACACCTGACGCTGAGGCCAGACCACGACTGGCTCTTTGGTTCCGCCCTGAGGACAGAAGCCCCTGGAGGGGGCGCAGGGACTGGGCTGACTTTCCACCCAGTGGGTTGTGCTGAGACCTGCAGGAACCACTTCCGGGTCTGGATTCTCCATCCCCACCCTCAGCCCTCTGCAAGCACCTACAGCTGGGTTGGGCCCACCAGGCCCCTCCCACCTGGGAGACAGCCGCTCTGCAGGGAGGTGGAGGGTCAGGTCAGAGGTCACGTGGGGAGAGAGGACCCAGTTCAGACAGTCAGATGGAACAGACTCAAAAGGACTTGGCTCAGCCCCGAGGGCGTGAGGACACGCCCAGCATTGCTGGCCACTGGCCACATTCACCTGGAAAAGGGCAGTTGTGGCCCTAGCGCTCCCACTGGCTCAAAACGTCCTGGCTGGGCCCCTGGAGGAGGAGCGGGCCTGTCGGGCCCCTGAGCGCCTCTGGGTCTCAGAGCCACGTGGACACTGGCCACTCTGAGCCTCAGGCGGCACTGCTCCTCTTGAACGGAGCCCTCTCCTGCTGGAACATTCTCTGAGTCTGAACCTAGGAGTCCAACAGCTTGGGCTCACCTGGCACCTAAGAGACCCTGGTGAGGAGACGTCGGTGAGACCAGGGCGGCCTCGGACCACCTCCTCTCCGCCATCGCCCCAGCTTCTCTCCTGGGCGCTGGGATCCAGGGAGGAGAGGCCTGGGGAGATGCAGCCTGTGTTCCAGGCCACAGCGCTGCAGGGGCAGGACCCTGACTCACAAGAAGGTGACTCTGTCCTGCTGCTTCTGCGACACAGACCAGACTGGAGTGGGGCCTCCCACGGGACCGCCCACACTGGCCTGCGGGGGTTTCTGTAGAAGTTCCAGAGCCCCGGGATCGGATACCCCGAGTGCTGGTCTTTGGGGGCTGGTCCACAGGGCGGGCGAAAGGTTTATTCTGACCTCTCCCCCTCCCCATGTAAGTCACCTGGACCGGAAAAGGGCCCTTCCTGGCTGATGGTGTCTGAGTGGACGTGACACTCACCGTCAGAGCAGCAAAGGGCCAGAGTGACCAGCAGCAGAGACAGGGCCAGCTTCATGGTTCCTGCGGCTGAGCGTTCAGCTGAGCAAACAGTGAGCGCTGAGGAGCTGGACTGAGCAGCCTGGGGAGCCCAGGGCTATTTGTACCCAGTGAGCCTCACTGGTCCTGCCACAGTGGACAGGGCAGGTCACAAGGCCTGGCTTCCAGCCACCCTTCCTCACGGTCACCTGATGCCATCCATCAGCGTCACAGCCCGGGGACTTGGTCAGAGCTGGAGTTGCTGGCACCGGGCACGGCTCCCTCAGCACCGCCCCAGGTGGGAGGGTCACAGTGTGCGCCCCGTCAGTGGAGGGAGCCCCTGGGGTTCAGCTCCTTCAGTGCGGACAGGGTCGGCTTTGCTCTTCCCTCAGCCCAGGGCCTGGCACAGAGAAGAGGGTCAGCACATGTTCCTGGGGGAGATGCGTGACCCTGAGTGAACGAGCTCTCAGTGTGGCTGGGCTGCACCCTCAGGGTAAAATGGTGCCCGCTGTGCCAGGTCTGCTTTGGGCAGTGGAGGGAGTAAGTCCGTGGTGTCCGCCTCCTCGGAGAAAACAGTGCCAAGAGGAGGACCACCCTCCCACTGCCACCTTCCTACTCGAGCGCCTGTGGAAAAGCCATGCACACAACTTCAGATCCATCAACGCTCACGTGTCCTGGTGACACTTTCACTTGTCGGTTCAGAGGTGGCCCCTGTGGTCATCGGGCTCCACAGGAGAAGCACCCACAGGGCTAGTCCCCCACCTGTGCCGACCGTGGGCCGCTGCTCCATGGGGCACAGGGAGGCCGCACGACTCAGAGACAGGCTGTGGGAAGCAGGTGACAGGGCAGCGGGCTTGAGACCACGCAGCACAGACAGGATTCTGTCAGGTGTCGGGCGGGGGGGACCTGTCAGACGGAAGGGAGGGACATGGCACTGACGTTCTAGCTCAGCTGCTTGCATCTGGGTGTCTGACTCAATCCTTCCTCAGTGATGCCACCCTCGTTCCTCCACCTGCTCAGTCCTTTCTCTTCTTTCTCTGTTTGGAGAAGCTCACTGACCGACACCACGAGCTGGCAGGGGTGCGGGGCAGCAGTAACGCGTCCTCATTGCTGGAGGGATGCACAGGAGCACGGCCACTCGGCAGGACAGCCGGGCAGTTCCTTGTGACCTACACGCCCTCTCACCACACCCGGCCCAGCACCTGAGAGCCTGGGGTCCCGGCAGCACCGGGCCGGGTGCTAACCCGTGAGGCTCCGTGTGTCCGGACAGAAGGGGGAGGTGCGACCTCTCTCTACTTTCTCTTTGTGTTGTAATCCCACCAGGGCCATGAGAAGCACCCAGCGGGCGCCTTCTGTACGTGCTGGACGGGCGTTCAGGTGGCAGCTGGTGTGGGACCTGCCCTTGAATTGAACCGGCAACCCATCGGCCCACAGAGTGACGCTCAACCACTGAGATGCCCCGGCCAGGCTCTCTCTACTTTCTGCTCAAGTTTTCTGTGAACTAAAAGCTGCTGTGAAATAAAGACTAGTAAACATAGAGGCTCTCAACTTGTTGACAACATTCTCTTCCAACCAGGGGGAAAGCATATAAAAAGCCATCAATAAGTTGGTCATAATCCTATATAATAAAGAGCTAATATGCAAATGGCCATTACACCCTCACACCCTCATACCAGGGCAGGGAGACATGAGCTCAGGTCTGGGGACCTGAGGCCACACCCACCACCCCAGTGTTGGGGCCAGGGGACCTGAGTCTGTGACCCACCCAGCAGGGCTTTACAGGGGACTAAGGCTATGCCCCCACACCCAGCGGGGCTTTATGGGGGACCTGAGGCTCTACTCTCCATTGGGCAGGGCTTGACAGAAGACCTGAGGCTGCAAGATCTGCCAGCGCCAGGCTGGGGGACTTGAGGCTGAGCCACCGGCCCTGCAGGACCTGATGAGGGTTGGGCTGGCCCGGTATGGGTCTCAGGCAATTTCGAGGCAGGCGCAGGTGGGCGGGGACTAGACTCTGGGTCCTGCAGCCTGCCCCAGACTCTGACAGGAGGTAGATTTTCATATACATTTTACTAATTTTCTTTCATCTCTAAAACTTCTATTATAGAGAAAGAGCAAATAGCAATATTAAAATATACCCTTTAATTAATTCCCTTTTAATGTGCAGGAATTTCATGCACCGGGCTACTAGTATGTAGATAATTAATCAACCATCAGAGAAATCTAAGATAATCTAGTGAGAAACACAGTTATAACAGATGAAAGTTGATGCTGTATCTGAATATAGTATTGGCCCAGGGACAGCAATCCTTCTTGCAAACCTGTCACTGTGGACCTAATAGAAACAGTGGCCCCCTGGCGACAGGAACTGTAGCAGCAACAAAAACACACTGACGTCCACACACTTGAAGCAGGCAAACGCTGAAGCATGAAATCACCAACATTTCCTCAGAGACGGGACGAGGGATCTAAGAACACCAGGCACACACCTTGCCCCTGAGGAACATTAGAGCATTTATTGCACAACTTATTCTCAGATTGTTGCAGTTTCAGTCCCGCCACCTCAGAGCCCTAACCGGCAGCTTCACACATTGCTGAGAATCTGGAGGCCGTTGGGGTCTCTCTTTCAAATGCAGGACGTTTCCCTCAGTGGGTTGTGAGCAAGAGCCCATCTTCAGGGCCAGACTCCCGGGGTTCAAGCTCAGCTCTGGAGCTTCCCGCCTGTGGGGTCCCCAGCAGGTGCTGACCCCTCTGCCTCAGTGTCCTCGTGTGGAAATAAGGGGACAGCACAGATGTGTGTTAGGCCAAGTAGGTTCATCCAGGACAAATGCTGGGCGCAGTCCCTGGCAGCCAGTGTCAGCTGTTACAATTATGCACCAAAATGGAAAAATGTGAGTGACAGTCGAACAGAACAGACCGCCTCATCCCAAAGGCCAATATCAGGCGAACTCACCGACTCTGCCAGGGGAGTGTTGGTTACCCTCAGGGCTGATGGGCGTCTGAATTTGGCTCTGGTTTTATTGGGATTTCTCTCTGGCACCACCAGCTGGTTACTTTTCAGTCACTTAATTGACAGTTTAATGGTCACATCTAAACCAGGCTTATTGGGACTTTCTAACCGTTCACCTTGGGTATTGGAGTCAGGGAACAGGAGGGGGTGGGTGGGGACAGGGATAAGGTCCCCGAAGCCCTCAGGGTCTCTGCACTCCCGTCCTCAGCAGGAGGCGCTGGTCACGTGTGTCCCTTCGATCCCAGGGCCCCTCCAGTGCTCAGGCTCTAACTGGTCCCCAGGTGCCTGGTCATGGAGGCGTCTCAGACGTCACTTCTGGGTCGTGATGTCCCCATGGGCTTGTGCCGTCTAAGTAGCCTCTGGAGACACCGGTGCCCGTGGGCCCGTCCCAGGCACACTCAGCCTGTTCCGTGTTACACGACGGAGGCCCACACGTCAGGTCAGACCTGCAGGCATTCACTCCACAGGTACAGCTCTCGTGCCAACGAGCAGCGTCAGTGACGTGTGTGGAACTCTATGACAGTGGCCTCCCTGGCCTTGCTTTGAATGGAATTAAAGAAGGACTCTTAGCCGTGGTGACAACTCATTAAAAGTAATTTTAATATACTTTTATTGATCTCAGAGAGGAAGCCTGAGGGAGAGGGAGAGAGAAACATCCATGATGAGAGAGAATTATTGATCAGCTGCCTACTGCACTTCCCTCTCTGGGCATTGAGCCTGCAACCTGGGCCTGTACCCTTGACTTGGAATCACACCGTGACCTCCTGGTTCATAGGTGGATGCTCAACCACTGGCTGGGCTAAAATAATTGTGAGTGATAGACCGCAGGTCATTTTAGATCCATGGAATTGAGTGACACGGCTCATTCTTCTCACATCCGCACAATCATGTGACAAGCATGTTTGCAGTTATGCCCCTGAGGATGGAAGCCATGACTACAATGGCCTCTGTTTGCCCAATAAATAATATCACTCATGGATACAGGGCTTCTATACATAAGCCCTGGCAGAAGCTCTTGAGCCTCAAGGCTCTCCTCCATCCTCACTCCCTTCCAGCAGGAGCCCGGCTCCAAGGCCCAGGTGAGGCTCGGTTACAGTTACTGGAGCTCCGCCTGGGAACGGATGGGACATACAGCAATGGCCAGGGCAGGAAAGCCTCCCAGCTGGGAGGGCCATGTCCTTGCCTGATGGGAAAAATAAGACATTTTTGGGGGGCTAGCAATCTGAATCTGTGCCAGTGACCTAATGTACATGCTTCATAGCCTATAATTAAGTCACTGCCCCTTTCTCCACGATCTGGCCTTGCCAGACCTGTTTACCTAAGAAGTCCCATTTTACAGAGGCCATAAACCATGAACAATACCCAACTCCCCCATCCCAACACACAGGGCTTTTTGCAAAGCCCGAGAAAGGTCTGGAAGTCCCATCCATATTTGGGGGACAAGGAAACCAAAGGGTATAGAGGGAGAGCTTCCTCCATACTTGGGGGCTCCGGATTTGGAGAGAAACAGTCTCTCTCCCCTGAGTCACTGTACTAGTACATGCGAAACATCTGACAATAAATGGTTTTTACCTGTATCTCCAAGTACTCCTGTGTATTTTTCGTTCGCTTGGTAAAATCTGTAACATAAAAATGATTCCCAGACTGCCAATACATAGCCAAAATTGCCCCATTGAGGCACCACTGTGTGTGAGCAGGCGGGCGGGCCCATTCAACCGAGCCCCTGATGACGGGAAGGCGCACTCCAGTGATTTACTGGGTTCCAGTCCTCATCGGGCCCAGGCAACCAGGGCCCCTGCTGGCCCTCCAGTGGACTCCAGGGAGGACAGGAAAGCCCTCTTCTGGAACCAGACATCTGACTGGTGAGTTTCCCCCCTGGGTGACCAGTCCGAGTTCAGGCCTGACTTTGGGAACAGAAGAAGTAGCTGATCACAACTTAGGCAAATTATTTGCCTCAGTTCAGGACTGTCTGTGGGTGGAAGTCAAAACTCAGACTGACTGGTGTCTGATTGTGAGTGTGGGAGCCTGGGCGAGGCAAAAGCTACCTGTGTTGTCCTGTGTCTCTGTTCACTGGGAGGGGATTACACGGTCTAACTGCAAATATGGGAAGTAGCTCCT